CAACCACATTTCACTGTAACAAAAGTAACACAGAACGGTGTACGATATTCTCCAGTTGTCTCTGTCTTTACACTGGCCAATGACAAACGCCATGAACTCACGCCATTCCCTCCACTATGCACTCGAATGTGTACAACTGCACAACGTCGGGGCGGTCGGCGGCTAGCCAGCCTTCACTTGTCTTCTATACGTCAGTGATATTCGATCCTGCCGAATTTATAAACGTAAATTTCTCTCTTATAGAAGGATTTCCCTTTCATGTTTTATGACCAAGCTATAGGTAAATTTATCAGCGTTTAGATATCGTATTGACAAACATAATACTTAAATACATTTTTAGTTAAAGTATGGAGTTAAGAAAGTCATGTGAACAATAATAAAAACCGTTACTATTAATTCATTTAAAGACTATATCAGCCCAGATGTCATTTAAACCAAGCGAAATTTTCTAATTTGCATCAAGTAAAAGTAAAAAATTCCGTGTAGGAAACTAATTATTCAAAACTGTCAGTATGTAACGTATTTAAGGTACCTTGCGACAGAATTAAGATTAAGGATAAACGTGTAATAAATAAACGGGTAGGTGCTAGGAAAAGTGACCTATGTAACTAACGCCAGTGACCCGAGCCCTTCCTGAGAATTCAACAGTCGCCTACTTAAATTTCCAGCACTTTAGGGAAACCTAGTGTTCATTATCGTGTTCACAAAAGTCCCCACTGACCCTTTTCCTCAGCCAGATGAATCCAGTCCACACTTCAATCATATTTCTCTAAGCTGCTTCTTAATATTACAATTCCATCTAAGTTTAGGAATTCCCTGTGGTCTATTTCCTTCATGTTTTCCTACAAAAATTCAGTATACATTCATCTTGGTTCCAGTGCCCTGACCACTTCATGCTCCTGACTTGATTATTTAGTAAGGTGTACGAATTACGAAGCCCTTCAGTATGTAATTTTCTCCAACCTCCTACCATTTCATCCCTCTTCAGTCCAAATATCCCCCCTCAGCGCCCTGTTCTGAAAAACCTTCAATTATGTTCTTCCTTTAATGTCGGAGACCATGTTTTACACCCATAAAAGAAACCAAGGCAAAATTTAAAATCTTTATGTTTTACTCCAGGGTTACAGATTATGAGAATATTAATCATTCAATTCAAAGTTCTGAAGTATGTGTTCGAAACAAGTAAACGTACCTATGAATTAAATTATTTATGTATACGCATATATTTTGGGAAAACAGTTCTGTGTTTAACTGAGCACTACGGCATGAAGACGTATAGAAGAGTGGAGGTAGAGCTTCACGCATTCTAACCTCGGTATTAGATGGAGATAAGTGGTCAGGTTCATGATCCGGCCGCTATGCCCCAAGCATGATTTACAGACTTGAACACATTCTCTGTTACCACTAAATAAGAGAAGCAATGAAAAATGGAAACTTGTTTGTTTTCACCCATTTACAGAAATAAGAATTTTCAAAATGCCCAGAAAATTTACGAGTGTTATACAGAGGACCCAGATATGTTATGAATGACAAGGAATATTAGAGGTGTCATGAATAATGCCGGGAAATATTACTAATATTTATAGAATTAGCCGGTCACGGTAGCCGGGCGGTCTAAGGCATGTACTGTTTTCGCTCGCTCGGAAGCCGGGATCGTGGGTTCGAATTCCACCCAGAGCATGGATGTTCAGTGTTTGTGTGTGTATGCGTTTTTCTGTGTTTGTGTACAGGTAGAGGCCTTGCGACCAGCTGATCACCCGCCCAAGGAGTCCTACCGACTGTCTAACATCTAGTAAACGGAAGTGAAACGGAGAGTTCTATGGAGGTAGGCTAAGGCCCAAACTGGGGCTTTAGCGTCAAAGGGGGGAAAAAATAGTATAGAATGTCCAGAAATATTAAAAGTGACATAAATGTTGCTCGGAAATACAGTGCGGTCGTGTTTTATGCGAAGACGAGTTCCTGAGGACCGCGCATGCGTGAATCTTGCCGAATATTTTGGCTTTCGCATTATTTCAAACTTTGCGAATAAAGTTACATATTAATATTTTTTATATCGCACTATTTCAAATTCGCATTAAATGCGACGGAGACTTATTAAGAATATTATACAGGACTGCCGTAAGTGTTATGACGTTATGCAAAATGCCTACGGATATTAGGAATGATAAACGAAAAATCATTGGGGCGTCTTTTTATTTTCTCATATATGTCATAGGTAGAGACATTCTTTTTATGGCGGAAAAAATCTTCCTGATGTTTTTACGGATTTATTTCTTTTGAAACCACCTGAATAAGAGAAAGTTATTTTTGTTACGCCGTATGTATATCTGTCTGAATATAGTCGTATATACGGATTTTCTTTTCGATATTGCGTGAACGGGTGGATGTATTGTTCGCTTCTTTGTTCTTTTCTTTCAGTTATCCTTCCTCTTTCTATCTTCCTTTCTTTATCTGATCTTTCCTTTACTTATTTCTTTCCTCGTTTCTCTCTTAATTTTCTTCTTGATTCACTTTGTTTATTACGAAATTCAGAAACTGTCAATTGCCTGTAATTCCTATGATTCATAAAAATATTGTAGCATACAGACCCGTTGCTAAGCGATGACTCTGTAGGCAGCGGCCGTTGCTAGGTTACGCTCTCAGCATGCACGGAACAATAGAAGAACTGCGTTTTCTACGTGGCCGGTCCCCAAATTTTATAACCGGGAGATCTGGAGCTTAGTCAGTTCTAGAAGTCATACAAAATCATGATAACGAAAATGTTGGCAATACTGGACAAGGCGAAGCCCGACACAAAACGTATAAGAGGCTTAAACTTGGCAGGGGTCAAGCATACGACCGTTCAAGTAACTAGACTGCCGTTGTAGCGGAAGCTACTAGAAATATGGCATAATCTGCAGTACTCAGCCTGGACTCCCAGAGGTTCTGTATATATTTTATATACCGTATTTACGCATGTATAGGCCGCGTGCGTGTATAGGCGGCAGCACAATTTTCAGACAGAAATTATAGAAAAAATAATTTTCTTGGAATATTATTTCAGGAGTATTACACCCTGTATTACTAATTATGAATATAATTTTTTTAAATGAAGTGTGATTTCGAATATTTCGAATATAAGCCGCACCCCAGTTTTCCTCTTGAATTTTTGGCAAAAAATGTGCGGCCTATACATGCGTAAATACGGTATATTTATTAACATGTTTAGCATGTAAAATGTAAATATCCTTTACATTATGACAAATGACTTACTACCGCAGACAATAACTCTGACAAAAGACAATCCCATCCTCTCGTCAGAGACGGCGCCCCACAATAACAAAACCGTACATATCAAACAATAATAAATATCTGGTCATGAGCCCCAGATTGGGCTCGACACCAAGATTTATTGACTGACTGACTGACTGACTGACTGACCGTCAGTCGCAATGTGACTTTGACTTTCAGTTGAGAATGAGTTCTGTATGGGAGTCTGTGAAGTGAGGATTTCAGCCGAAGGCAGAGGAATATCCATTCTTGGAGCCGTTACCAGGAAACGTCTAGTAACAGACTGTGTGCTCTAGTGAACTGTGAAGTGTAGAAATAGCGATAATAATATAGTTATTTTTAATTACGACCTGTAGATGGTCAATAAATCTATTCACCAATCCAAACCCCGTCTATAGTCACACACATACTATATGTAACACTATGCATGACAAATGCCTGCGAACTTTTAATACTTTTTTTGCCCCAGAATATTAATTTGTATTCTACCTCCACTTTGTGCACGTGTTATCTCTAGTTGGAAGGCATTTAATTCAGCAGCGGAAGTCCGGAAGTTGTGCCTGCTACGTCAGCATGGTAGAAACAAATGACGTCAACATGTGACGAGAATTGAATATCGGCAAATATAATTATATTAGGGTACCATGGGAATCATAACAATGAAGATGCAAACCATGGCAATATATCCGGCGCCCATGAATTACCTATGGATGCAGACACATCCGATGTAGCTTCACAGTACATTTTTGCTGTTCCAACATTCCAATATTCATGTATTTGAAATTATCTTAATTATATATAACGATATTTATTTAATATCGGAAGCTTAAAATCTTCCATAAAAGAACATTTATTACTGTGTATACAACCTATTTTAAACAGAAAAAGAATTGACTTCTACACTATTGGTAAATGAGCCGTCAGCTTCAGGCTCCGGTCGCTTTACCCCTGGGCAAGAAGTCTTGCAAGTATGTACACAATTTGCAATGCAACTTCACAGTGCTCATAATTACTGGGATTTTGACTACGCCCATCATCCGGTATTCTAGAAAATAGAAAACACAACGTTTCACAAACTGGATCTCTTTCCGTCTTCAGGTGAGGGGGGTGGGAGACATCTACCCTTTTGGGTCCCTTAGAAAGAGCTGACCTCAGTCACTGGAGATTAATTCTTTCTAAGAGACCCAACAGGGTAGGTAGCTTCTTCTCCCTTCACCTGAGGACGGAAACAGCTCCATTCTCCGAAACGTTTTCTAGTTTCTGGAATACCGGAAAATGGACAAAGTCTGAAAATCCAGTAATTCTGAGTGTTATGCACCATCGTCAGAGCCCTTTAGAATCAACCTCTCTGTGGTCTGAAGTTGCCTCAAACAGCATATGGTCTAGCAACAACCAAACAGGCAGGACGCAATGTAAAAGAATCAAAGACAGAGGAGGGGTTGTATAACAGAAGAATAGACAAAATTTTAGTGACTGATTTTTTGGCTGTGACCGCCTCTGTGGTCTAGTGGTCAGAGTTCCTGGCTACAGATCCAGAGTTACCGGGTTCGATTCCCGGCGCTACCAGATTTTCTGAGAAGTAGTGGGTCTCGAACGGGGCCTACTCAGCCTCGTGAGGATAACTCAGGAGCTATTTCAAGGAAACATGGCTCCGGTCTAGAAAACCGAGATTAACGGCCGTGGGGATTCGTTGCGCTGACCATGCGACACCCTCTATCCGCTAAGTTGGCACTAATTTCGCCGGCAAGCGGGGGTCGCTCGGTCGGTATAGTTCGTTTGTGGACTAAAGTCAAGGAGTTTGTTAGTTTGTTGATTTTTTGGCTGTAAGACGCTGTTTGAACTTCAGCTGTTATAGGCGTGTACGAGTAGTACCGAATTTTACTCGGAAGGTTACCATGACCGGTCAGAACGTAAGGATTGGAAACACGCGATACTGAAACTGTTTAATATAAACTTAGCGTGTAAATAAAGCGACTAGCCGCTGGCTGGATGAACTGGTTTCATTCCTGGTAGGATCGGTGCCACTAGAATACGTGGATTTGTACGTCTACATCGCTGATAAGACTTCAAGCGTTAGTGCTTAGACATGGGGGATGTTCCTATCTTTAGTCCAATAACGTTGGCCTCACAACACACAACACCTTTCCCCATTACTTGCCATTGGCCTCCATTTCTTCACTTTCAGCTCTAGTAAATCATCTTCTAATCACCTCAATGTGGGCCTTCGCACTTTTGTTCTATCTCACAGCTTAATTTCATTAATTTTGTTTCATTCAACGTGCAAGGTAAACGCTAAGTTGTTCCTGTGCTAAATTAAGCACTAAGCTATAAAGATGCTTAGGGAATGGAGGCACAGATCCATGTATTCTTAACCTAGGCACAAGATGAAATGGAAGTCAGTGATCAGCTTCAGTCTCCGGCCGCGTTCTCCCCGGAACCCATCATATAAGAGGTTCTATGGACCACAGAGCAGATCTGAACAAAGTGAAGAAGAGGAACATACGAGTATATCCTGTCCTAGCCGTCAAGCCAGCAGAGTTGTCGCTATACTGACTGACATATCCCAGCCTATAATTCTACAACAAACTTGCATCAACTACTTTTATTAATGTAATTAGAATATATGAATGTTTAAATACATGAAATGTAAACATTTGTATGATTAGCATTTTGGGTGGAATCCGTTTTTGATGAATGCATCCCGAACTCGGCGCCTTTCGGAATCTGTGAGCGGCTGTAGAGGCTGCCTACATGGCCCTCCATACAGGCCCATCATGTTCATGGCCTCCTTCATTGCAGGTACTCCGAGTTCCCGCGTCACCTGGAAATCAAACAAGATTAGCTATTACTAATTCTAACCCCAGCCACACATATGCAATAACATATTTCTGCGACATAATCTTAACGCCTCTAGAAGTTTCGACCATGAAACGAACCTCGGATTACAAGGCTGAGGAATAGGAGTGCTAGTCACTCAGTAGATTTCAGTAACTTGAAACAGGCTGCAATTTTCTCCCGTCCTATAACTAATAATTCAAAACACATGAGTCCAACCCTTAGTAAAGTTAAAGCTATCTATGTAACAGGCCGTGGAGGCCCATAGGGTTGCGAGACGTCGAGGCTCCCATATTTTCTCTAGACAATCAGCTCACAGATGGCGGTGAGGTTGGCAGTCTTACGCGCCGGCCCCTTTTTACCCCCAGGAAGATTTCTGGTACTCATTTCTGTTAGAGGTTGGGTCGACCCCAGGGCCATACTGCGGCTGGAAGGATTGTAAATTGAAAAATCCAGTGACCTCATCGGGAATCGAATCCACGACCCTCCGGCTTGTAACTAATGCCTCAACCATCTACGTTACTGAGTGCCCCCTAACCCTTGATAAAGGTAGAAGATAAAATTATTCTTGAGTTAAATAAATTAATCACCACACCGTGAAGACGTATGGAGGGAGTGAAGTTCTACATCTACAGCCCATAGTATACATTGCATAGGAAGCTGGATGGACCCTGGAGCTGACCTGGACACTGTGGAGAAGAGAAAAAACATACGTGGTGCTATCCAAAAGTTACCGAAATTTTAATTTTATGCGCGAATGGTTATGAGTACATCGAAATACCGCTAGGTATCTCCCCACACACCCTTCTTGAATCAGTGTGGCAAGCGGCGTCGAGTTGAGTGGTTGAGTTTATTGTTGGTGAACGTATTTCAGTGAGTTTGCGGTTTTGCGATGGCTGACCTGAGAGAGCAGCGTGTCTGTATAAAGTTTTGTTTTAAACTTGGGAAAACCGCTGCAGAAACGCGCCAAATGTTGAAGCAAGCTTTTTGTGAAAACAGTTTAGGCCAGACACAGACTTACGACTGGTATAAGCGTTTCAAAAATGGCCGAATATCGACTGATGATGACGATCGTTCGGGACGGCCGTCAACGGGCAAAACACCAGAAAATGTCGCGAAATTAGGGATCTGATTCTGCAAGATCGTAGACTGACCATCCAAGACCTCTGTAACACCTTGGGACTAAGTTATGGTACATGTCAACGAATTTTGTTAGAGGAACTGAACATGAGGAGGATTGCGGCGAAGTTTGCGCCACGACTGCTGCAAAATGAACAGATGCAACATCGCTTGGAAGTCTGCAGGGAACTTCAACAACAGCTTCAAGAGGATCCAAACTTTCTTTCAAAGGTTGTCACTGGTGACGAAAGTTGGGTTTATGGCTACGACCCTGAAAGTAAGCAGCAATCGTCGCAATGGAAGAGCCCTTCTTCACCTCGGCCAAAAGAGATCGACAAGTAAGAGCAACGTTAAGTCCATGTTGATCTGTTTTTTTTGATATTGACAGGATTGTTCATAAGGAGTTCGTCCCTCCTGGTCAGACAGTCAATAAAGAGTTCTATCGCGATGTTCTAAGGTGTTTGAGGGAGAACATGAGGAGAAAACGTCCAGAGAAGTGGCGCACAAACGACTGGGTACTCCACCATGACAACGCATGACCGCATACGGCTTACATTGTGCATGAATTTTTGGCTAAAAACAAGATGGCAGTTGTTCCCCACCCACCGTACTCGCCAGACTTAGCTCCATGCGACTTCTTTCTCTTCCCCAAGATGAAAATCAAGTTGAAGGGGCGAAGATTTGATACAGTTGAGGAAATTCAAGCGGAAACGCAGACGGTACTAAACACCCTAACAAAGAAAGACTTCCAGGATGCATTTGAAAAGTGGCAGAAACGCTGGGATCAGTGTATGCGCTCCCAAGGGGACTACTTTGAAGGTGATGGTGCAGAATAGGATCCAGGTAAGACGTAATAGTTTTTATTAATATATTTCAGGAACTTTTGGATAGCACCACGTATCTTGCCCTGCCGGGGATCTAAAGTCAAAACCTCGGCCTTGAAGCCAGTAGACCAGTCACTATACTGACTGAGCTATCCCGTCTCGGGCTGAAACATTGTCTGACGTTAAATACAGTATTTGCCGGTCACGGTAGCCAAGCGGTCTAAGGCATGCACTGTCTTCGCTCGCTCGGAAGCCGGGATCGTGGGTTCGAATCCCACTCAAGGCATGGATGTTTGTGTGCGTTTTTCTGTGTTTGTCTACAGGTAGAGGCCTTGCGACGAGCTGCTCACTCGCCCAAGGAGTCCTACCGTATGTGTAAGATCTAGTAAACCGAAGCGAAACGGAGAGTTTCATGGAGGTAGGCCTAGGCACACTGGGTCTGTAGCGCCACAAGAAAAAAAAAACAGTATTTGGTAAGGAGTCATTAAATAACATAACTAACTAATTAGCTTCATGGAGCTCAGTCCGTCTTCAGAAGCTGCCAGTTGTGCAGTTATTCCAGAACTTCCCAGAATTTTATGGAACCCGATGGTTCATTACCGTGTTCACACAAGCCCTCCATTGGTCCCTATCCTGAGCCAGAGCAATCCAGTCCATACCACTCCATTCCATCTCTCTAAGCTCTATTTTAATACTGTCCACCAATCTACATCTTGGTCTGCCTAGTGGTCTCTTTCCTTCTGGCCATTAAACAGCACACTAGAGAAAAAATTACAAAGATAGTGTAAGCTAAGCCTGTCTTCTGCCGGTCACGGTAGCCGAGCGGTCTAAGGCATGTACTGTCTTCGCTCGCTCGGAAGCCGGGATCGTGGGTTCGGATCTGTTTCCTGTGAGGTACGAACTGAATTCTTATATATTATTCTTATACACTGCCGGTCACGGTAGCCGAGCGGTCTAAGGCATGTACTGTCTTCGCTCACTCGGAAGCCGGGATGTTGGGTTCGAATCCCACCCAGGGCATTGATGTTTAGTGTTTGTGTATGCAATTTCTGTGTAAGTGTCCAGGTACAGGCCTTGCGACGAGCTGATCTCCTACCCAAGGAGTCCTACCGAAATGTCTAAGGTCTAGTAAACGGAAGTGAAACGGAGAGTTTCATGGAGGTAGGCCAAGGCCCAATTTGGGGCTGTAATGCCAAAGGAAAATAAAAAGGCTGCCTTCTACGATTTTTTGTGGCACATCTTGGTGCACCATCGATTTAAATGGAGGTCTTTCTGCACAGCCACACGATTGATAAATGGTTCACTAAGACGCGACAGAAACGCTCTCGGAAAAAAAGTCAAAGACATTAAAAACTAAGGAAGGGACACTTGACATTTCAGACGAAACGGAAAGCGACACAAAACAGTTGAGTAGCGTTGAGAGGGTATCACCATCAAGAGAGGGCGGAAACACGAGCTACTGCAAACGGTGGAATAAAAGGAAAGTAGCAGTTAATAATACCAAATGGACGCTTAAATACTGTAGAAGTCGGCACTGGTAAATTGCTTCTAACAACATAAAAACAGGAAAAATTTATTTGAAGTGATAATCTACGCTAAACCGACACCTGCCTTTCGCAGAAAGAAATATCCGTGGTACCCAAAAGAAACCGAACTAATTTTTTTGTGGTCAGGGCTTCTGTAGTGCCGCGTTTTGCCGCTATGAGAGCCTAGAGCTAACATTCCTGAGTCGATAAGCCGACTACCGTTGCTTCAGAAGGTAAGGACTAGTTTCGGCAGAGTTCATAGTGACAACTCTTTTGTGTGATCGTCGTTTTTGCAATGGCTGATTTTCGTGAACAGCGTGCGGCGGTGAAATTCTGCTTTTCGCTTGGGAAAAGTGGAACAGAAACTCTTGAAATGTTAAAAACGGCGTACAAGGACGATGCTATGGGGAAAACTCAAGTGTTTGGGTGGTTTTCCCGTTTCAAAAATAGTGAAATGTCAATTGATGACAAATCTCGTTCTGGTCGTCCTTCCACGGCATGAACACATGAAAATGTTAAAAAAATTCGTGAAATCATCAAGGAAGATCGACGACGGACCATTGAAGAAATTGTGGAGCTGTCGGGAGTGACTTGGAGCTCAGCGGCCAGATTTGTGGCAGTCGGGTGACTGGTTTTTCCATCATGACAATGCCCCTGCTCACACAGCCCTGTCTGTACGACAATTCTTGACCAAAAATGGTATGACCCCTGTTCCTCACCCTCCATACTCACCCGACCTTGCCCCGTGCGGCTTTTTTTTTGTTTCCTCGAATGAAAAGAGACATGAAAGGAAAAAACGACGGAGGCGCTGTCAAGCATCTCAAAAGATGAATTTAGACAATGTTTTGAAAAATGGAATAAAAGACTAGACAAGTGTATTAGTGTAAGTGGAGAGTACTTTGAAGGGGATTGAAGGTTTGTGCTTAAAATTTGAATAAATAAGTTTTAAAAAAATAAGTTCGGTTTCTTTTGGGTACCTCTTCGTAGAGCGAAGCTGCAATTTAATGGTCTCTGGTCCCGCCTGCGCGTTACGTAGCAACCTCCAACTTACGCGGAAGAATGTTGCACTGCTGTCACATCTTTATATCACCTCCAATCACCGAGAGGTGAAAATTCAGCCAAGGAACATGGTAGTGGAATCGACCTCACATATAAACCATACAACTGACCAACACGTAACCGCTGGACAATGCTGTTTCGAGGTGACTAGAGCTGGTAGCTGATAAAAGGTATTACAGACTCTAAGGTGACAATGTATTGATGTAGCATAACTTGTTCGCTGTTATTTCCTGCAACAAATTAGAAACAAGAGCAGACAGAAGAAAGAGATTGTGAAATTCCCACTGCGATGACTGTGAAGACTCTGTTCGCCTTAGTTTTATACTCTGAAGATGGAGTCAGCTATTTCCTCCGAAACACTGGTAATTATCACACTACACGGTACCGCATCTCAAGAGACGGAAATCTGCATAATGCAAATTAGTTCAACGGACGAAAGAAGGGGTAAGAAATAATTA